GACCCGAAACAGGGTTTTCAAATAGGACAAGAAAAGAAGCGGTATAGCCCGAGGAATGCGAGAAGCACGCGCGGATATTCCATCGCTCGGAACAAGTGTGCTTCTGCGTCTCTCCGCAGCGGGGCGTCCGTTCCACGACTCTTGTCTGCCGCTCTACCTTTTCACTTTCGGCGGCCGCATGTCGTAGCGATCTGCCAGGCTTTGTCAGTAAAGAGGAGGCTATGCCTCTATAGACATTTTCCACAGGGGCGCCGCCATCTTGCATTGTCGTCACTTCCAGTATGGGCGGCGACAAAATAATAAAACGTTTCAACCTGTAACTAGCAAAAAAATAGAGGGGAGCCAAAACGAGAATGTGTGACGGTTAGGCTTATATCCTAAATGTCTTCTTTTGGCGTGGCGACGGCAAAACAATGTTTTCGCCCATACTGGAAGTGACGACAATTCAAGATGGCGGCACCCTTGTGGAAAAGGTCTATAGTCAGTTACAGGTTAAGAAGGTAGCGGCCAATGCCCCTCAAAGGGAATCAGATATCCCTCCGCCACCTTTGCATCCAATAGCGTCTTACCGCTTCCGTGACGTCGCGGACAACGCGCGAGGAGGGTCTTGCCTTTCTGCACATATTTGCTTTATCTTTTTACTTTGACTTAGCATTGTGGAAGCCACGAGAGGGAGATTAGAGTTCTCCCCCACCGACGGAAACAAATACGACTTTTGGGGATTAGCTTCCCCCCCGATGGATACAAAGGCTGCTTTCAGGGGCTCGGTTCCCTCTTCGATGAATACAAAGGTCGCTTTCTTAAAAAGTGGGATCGGAGACAAGTGGGAATCCATTGAAGCGGAACAAGGAGCGTTTCCAGTGAACTCTTCTTTCGACTGCGGAGAGATTTGAAACGGGCGCATCACGCTCTGCCCGCTAGAAACTGCACTGAGCAATCCTCCAAAAGAGAACTTTATTACATGTCTTTATCGTCGCTTTATGGCACTAAGACAGTAATAAAAGTCCTCATGATTAGATATTGAGAAGCCACAGTGCTAGTATTCACTAGACGCCATATTTGAGTGCGCTGTTCAGAACGCATGCTCACACCGAGCTCACATTATTAAGTAGCTAAGACCGGAAATCTTGATAGTGTGGAAGACATCTTGCAAAAGAACTGTGAAAGCTCGCCATCAGCACGTGCTCAGCAGTCGCGCACACAGCTATGGCTGCCGCTGAATACTCCCTATAAGCATGGTGCCTGGAGCGCGTCTTCGACTGCTGTGTTTAGCGTACTATCCCGCCCATACATCAAAAGTGGTCTCAAAGTGGCAACAAATGACGTCACAGAAGTCGGAGTGTCATGATGTTGCCTGACGCGATCCTGGCGGTTGGCCGTAGAAATGCTGGCGAAAAGCACGAGTGAACGCAAGTGTCGCTGTCGCCACGGCGTCCCAGGCATTCCAACTCCCGGCTGCTTTAACTTCCGAGGACTGTCACAGTAGAGAGCGAAGGCGTCTGCCATATACACCACAACTGTTGAGACGCCGCCATGATCGCGATCGGCGACAGCATGACCCTTCTATGACGTCATCAGGCGGAAATCGAGGGACCACTTTTTTGGAGGTGGTAAACACACCAGTAGGAGACGCGTTTCAGGCACCATACTATAAGCACTATAAGAGCGCGGAACCTTGACGTTAGCGTAGCCCTGTACAAAAAAAGTAGACGATTCGGTCCACCTTTCCTTCCTTTTGGCTCTACAGGGCGTTCCATAGAAAAACGAATCGTGTATTTCAGCCCACGCAAATAAACTACGCATTGCAGAAAACTCGATATTTATGGAAATGTGACTCTATACGCGCTTTCACCTCAGAGGAAACAAGGAACTTTTGCGCATTGTTCATACGCCGCGTGAAGTAGTCCTTACAAGATTTGGTTGTTAAACGAGGAAGCGATGTTTTTTTTGCATCTGAAACGGATGCATCTTGTTAAAATAAATAACTAATCTAAAATACACCTATATATATATATGTGTGTGTGTGTGTGTGTGTGTGTGTGTGTGTGTGTGTGTGTGTGTGTGTGTGTGTGTGTGTGTGTGTGTGTGTGTGTGTGTGTTAATTCTCTATATAAGAAGGAAATTGGTAATGCTCGGCGAAGAGCCGGATTTTTTTTACTGCGGTTCTTGGAGTGAAAACGAGTATAGTTGTTGCGGTAGAACGCGAAAGTTTGAGAACTCGAAGTTATCTGGGTCAAGCGAAAATCGAAAGACACGAAATTTCTCTATAAGCCGTCGTCCTCCGAAGCCCACTAATATAAAAATTGAACTGACATTGTACGCGTATACGATATATCAATAAATTACACTTGTCGGAAAGAAAAAATTTTTTTCTTTCTTTTTATTGAAATAGATGCTACGGGCGCCCACAATCTGGTTTTCTTGTTTTTACTATATTAAGTCTTAGCTGGACGTCGACTCATAGAGAAATTTTGTCTTTGTCAATTATCCTTTGATCTAGATTACATGTTTTCAAGCTTTCGAGTTTCATTCCAACCGCTAGGGTCACATTCTCACGGAGTTTGAGCATTTCGAGAGTCATAGTTTATTTATGTGGCCAAAAAAATGCAGTTTTCTTTCCTCGTGAACACCCGGTACTTCGTTTGGCCTTACCATTGTCAGTCTAAAAGCCTTCTCAATCAATCTAGTGCCGTGAACGTAGCGAGTCACCACGCTCCCCACGCATCGCTGCGCCACTTAAGAAGGTCATGTGACATTCAGGCGGCGTCCAATTGACCTCGATGGCTCGTAGGGACAATTTCGGTCCATCGTCAGGTGAAACGGGGTTGGAAATGTGGCACTGCCCAAAAGTCGCCAAAACAGGGTTGTCTCGGGCGTCGCTCCGTGGCTGTGCTTACTTATCTGAGATAGCGAAGCATATAGATTTACTCTAATCGACCCCGTAAGTGATGACGTCGCAACATGGTGCTGTGCTCCAAACAAACCGTTGCTATAGGGCCGTCCTCGCAGACAAATGCTTGGGCGGCTGGACGCGAGGTTAAATTTCGTCGGATAAAAGAAAGTTCGTAGCTTTTTATAAGCACAGTGGCTTCTCCATATCTAATCATGAGGACTTTTTTGTTGTCTCAGTGCCATAAAGCGACGATAAAGACACGTAATAAAGTTGCACAACCGGTTTCGCCCTGATAGCAGACGACACGATGTCTTCGTGGGTTCAGTGGCCCTTCTGAGGGTGTATGCGACGGCGTTAGACTAAGTTGGTGAGGAGCGACAAAACTTCTGTTCACGGGGTGAACTTCCTGGGGTATTTTGGAAGTGAGGAGTGCCCGTGTACAGCTTTGAATTTGAATTGATTCTGCTTAATGTGCTCACAAACAGCTCGAGCCCTTGATAATGTGCACATATTATAATCAATGAATAACAGATACAAACGAACAAGCAGGACATAATTTTTCAAAGGTAAAAGTTTTCTTAGACCTGCCATGTTCCCCATAAATATAAGATCAAAATCGGAGCATTTTTGAACGATTCGAGCTGTTGCAGACGACATATTTCAGTCATTCCGCACGCGTTCGGAATCTGCTGTAGGCGTCTCGAGACGTCTTGAGAACCGGAAGCTCCCGTCGCAAATATTTCAGAAACAGCCGATTCTCCGCAAACTTCCATCGTGATTAGTGTGAAATCGATGCGTCATATATCTTTTTTTTTTACTTCAGACGTTTAAATTTTACGTTTGACTTTTGAATGATCATTCTTTGGGAGCGAAATCCAATTCCATGTGTTCTCCTATAGCAATTAACACCCTTAGAAACTGCTTGTTTAGAGCACGGGGTGAATGTGAGAAGCCGCGAGACCATTTTGAAAAACTTGGTCTTGCTGACAGGAGGGCGACGCTATTAAAACCTCCCGCGTCCTAAAAAAATATATATATTCTTTTTCCTGCTTTTTTTCCTTTCCTGTGAAAGTCTTAGCCGGCGTACCTGAGATGCTAACCATTTGCAAAGTCATAAACTCCCATTTTCCATTTTCAACTCTCGTCCGTCTCCCCGGTACACTGGTGGAATAAATACAATATTTAAAAAATCATACTTGCATGAATGTTGACTCGTAATTATTTAAAAATTGGCGGCGAACTTTATCTGCAAAGTCCTATATTGCGTGGAATGCAAAACTTAAAGCACTATCGTTATTTTCTTTTAAGACATTAAACTCGTTTTGGGAGTAAAGAGCGACAAACTCTTTATTAATTCACGTCACGTGACCTGACGTCACGCGACGTGGTCACGAGACAGAACGTTATAAAGTCCAGTCATGGCGCCGCGACATATCATGACGTGACGTCACGATATCAGGTCGCGGTTCCACATGACGTCAATTGGTGTATATACACCAATTCGAGTTTATATCAAAATTGAGCGAGAAAACACTTGTCGCGTGACAAGTAACGTGTAACACGACGTGAATAAGTCGACACCGGTTCGAATTCCTCGCTAAACTCAGCGGGAAAAAGCACGGACGTTCGGACAGACGGAGAAGTCCTTGCGAGTACGGGGCTTCTTTCAAGAGCATTCTACGCTTTCAAATATCGATTAACACAAACACAGAAAAAAAGATATACACACCTTACAGAGTCCGGGATATGACGACCTCGTTGAATATCTAAGCAGACAACGTGTACATGTGGCGGAAACCTGTTGCTGCAACCTGCTTTATTGAGTGGTTTCAACTTGCCACATTTGAATTATTCCGGTACCTATTTTATTCGAAGTAAGTCAATTTATTTATCAGGTTACATTCGATGACATGAATTCATGTTAATTCGCTACGAAATAGCTGTGAATGATTTTTTTTTTTTTTTTTTTTAACAAGCGACATCAAGGCAGCAATGTTTCTACAAATTGTGTACGGAGCTTTTGCTGCTCCTCATAATCTACAAACTACCTCTTTCAGAACAAATGTCAACTTAAGTTATGTCTTGAAATAAACATAAAACAATTCAGTGCTTCGATCCGAGTAAACCTTTTATTTAATCGCAATTTTGTACAAAGTATACACAAGTAACTGAAACATATATATCTTGAATTATTCTATAGTATAACTCTTGTATGCTGATATTACTAGAGTGGCAAACTTTCTCATTAAATCGGTTTCGCATATAAAATAACGTGAGGCATTGACACTCTTTCATCAAAAAGAATATAGTTTACTTACAAATATATATATATTGTACTATGTACACTTTAAATACAAAAACTTTCAATGTCCGAACAGACGTCGTCCAAGCTCCGGTAACTCTGGTAACAACCCTGTAGAAAGTGATAAATAAAGATTGCAAATTGTAAATGCGGCACTATTCACAACTCAATATTTTTTTTCTTTTTATTGTATATAGCTCAATAAAATATAAAGCGGTTATTATCAACCCTTCTGTAGAACCTGCAATGGGGTTTTTGAACAATTTGATTTTGTAATCCTAACAACAATGTTCGACAACATACATAACATTATTTTAAATACATTTCTTCTTTATTTATTTGCTGTAAGTAATTATGTTCCCAAACTGTTTTTTTTTTTTTAATTGAGCACAGCATTTTTCGGTAGATGCCGCTTGGGCTCCCATGTGTAAAGATCGTATCTTCTGAGAAAGAAATACTTTTCAAAGAGCAAGAAAAACTAATTTATCAAAAAAAAAAGTAACAACGGTTTTTAGAAAAAGAAAGTTAATCGTATTGACACATTTTAGCCACTGTATGACGCGCTCCTTTTAAACCATGAGGCTAGCTGCTGATACGAAAATAACGGACATGGTAGTTGGCGTAAGCCGCCGCCCGATTTAATGGGTTAATCCGTATGTAACTGTCCATCAATCCACTCATTCATCGATGCATCGAGAATTTGCTTGTCTGTCATTTTCGTAAGTGGAAAAGCAGGTGATGGATCTCAGGAGGCAGCCGCTCTGACCGGTTCAGTAGCACCAGAAAAGTAACATCCTGATACTCACCAAAACTAAAACTGTGTTTTCCGCAGGACAAATGTCTTTACAATGGCGAATTCCACTGGTCGTTTTGTAGCGCGCCGGGATCAGTAGACCAAATCCGAGATAAAGCTCGCGATCCGAACGGTGTCGCTCCGCCTCCGGATCCCTGGTGGAACTTGACCACTCCTTCGGGGATCGGCGGATGCCTTCCCGTCGTTCACCTTCCTGGGAATCGCCTTCCCGCGGTCCCGGATCTCGAAGCACTTGTTTTCGGAATCGCGGCGCTCACAAGACATGTTCAATGCACGAGCGTTGAACCCACTTCTCTCTTCATCGGAATAATCGTTAACTGTGTCCAAGTAGGTCTCGATTTTCGATCAGTACCGCGGAGGTTTAAAAAAGGCAGTCGAATTGATGCAGGACATACAAGCAACTTGACGACGAACCGTCATCAAGAATAAGCTGCAGTAAAGCGGGTGGGACTTCTCGAGCGGGCCAATACGAATTCTTCAGAGGTGAGATCAGCGAGATGCCCAGCGAGAAAGGAAGTCACGTGAGCGCGCCAAAGGCTGGCCAGGCTGGCTTCTGGTTGAATCCGCCGAAATCGGCGAAGCGACTTTCCTCGGATCCGGATCGAGATCTGTAGTGGGGGCTAATCTCAAACGACGAATGGAACACGTATGTCTCGATCCCGACCGCTTAGTGAAATAGGCGAGCTCCAGAACAGAATATTCCGTCGCGCTCCAAAACGACAAGTGTAATTCGTCATAAGTAAGAGCCCAGCGCTTCGACTTACATAGGAATCATATTTTCTATTTGCCTTTTGCAACATTATATCTCTCTGAAATGCCTATAAGCCAGGCAATCGCGTTGGCGACAACCTAGGGCTGACAACTATACAAACAATATGTGCTATGATAAACTTTTCTTAAATATTGTCGTCCCCCCTAACGCAGTATACTAATGCTGTCCAAACAAATAAGCACTTTTTTTTGTTGCATTTTTCGTTGTTGTCTTTTGCTGCTTCTTAGCATGTTTTATAGATTTTAGTTTTTGTTTTTTATTGTTAAATAGACTTATATCAGTACTAGACACTAAGTAGCATTTTTTTTCCACTTTTTTCAAACAACAATCAAAATTAAGTTATTGGAACAGGGACAGCTTTCTCGGGACGACAGCCGCTTAGCGAAGAGACGGTGAGAGTGCAGGCGAGCTGGTGGTAGCTAATCATGTCGTATTACACCTGAGACGTTCTCTGTGTCTGTTCCTTCTACTGAAAGTTCTTCCGATTTCTTCCACCGCAGTCTCAGGTGTAATACGACATGATTAGCCGCTTAGCAGCAGACTGAATCTGACTGGTAAGTTAGACAACATCAAGAACTACTTACCTGGGGCCAATATTCAACTTTTGCAGGCGTAATATTTTTTTAGAAGCGCGAGGCTGACTAGCAGGACGATTAAGCTCTTTGGCATACTCGCACCCGGAGACGCATCTGGAAAATAAATACAAAAAGAAAACATCCGGATTCACGTGAAAGTGCAGTATTATGTGGTACGTACTCCGATAGCATTAAACCCAACCTTTTCTAGACAAAGGCTGCTGCAATTAGACTAACGTAGCTTTGTTGAGGAAAATCAGTGTTCAATAAAAATCGCTAGTGTGGTTAAATTATTCGTATGAAGCGATGCCTGTCCCCTTGCATGTACCTCAATGCTATTCACAATAAGTTAAATCAGGCTTGTGCAAAGTTATGTAAGGGTTCAAAAAGCCGAAATTACACAAAACAGAATAACGTGCAAGTGTACTGTCGTATGTATGTTTGTGCGCGTGTAAATATACTAGTATTTGTACCTCTGTACTTTGGCGGGATACTACTGGATTTGAGCATGGCGAACAACTGCGCAGGCCGTTGGGAAGAGGATAATATTTTAGATTAAGCGTAACACATGACGGACAGTGTGATATGAAAAGACGCAGAGACTAGAAGGGCGAGGGGTTCTACTGCTCTAAAAATGTAAAACACTGGCATAAAAAAGCGCGATACAAAATGTACAGTCATTTCCGTATACATATTATCCTCCCAGAATCCCTGAGAAGTGGCTTTGAAAGAATGGCACTTTAGTGATATCAAGAAAATCATCTTTTTTTTTTTTTTCGGTTTAAGATCCCCTGCAAATATGAAACAAGACGAAAGAGCATATGGCTCGTATCCACGTTGAACACTACTACTCGAATGCTCTCAGCTCCACACAAGAAGAACAAAAGAGCTGTACCTATAGATTAACAAACATACAAATAATCCATGTATTTGCAAAATGTATTCTTTCCTTAGTCGGGGATGTCTGCAAACAATGCGTGCACCCGCACTCGTCCATATCATTATGAAGCACTTAAAGTTGTCCCCCCTGTTGAACCTAGTCCGTTTGTGTTCGCGGCGCCCCTAGTGGCCGCAAATGTTCCTGAAAGGTGCTCCCGTTTGCGCCAGAAGAAGCTGTGTTTGCATAGCTTCAATGGGATTCCACTCTGAAATTGCGAAAAAGAGGCATCGCGAGAGGCGGCGGCGTCTTTAAAGGAATTTTTGTTTCACTTGCTCGTGAAGGGCTCAAAACCAGGTTGAGGCTTGAGGCTCTGGGCCCAAAACCACGCGAATTAAGGTGCACGCGGGTGAAGGGCAAAATCTTTGAAAGAACGCAGTGCACCATGAGGACGGTCTTAAGAGAGGGCCGAAAGGGACTCGTTTGAGATGTTGAAGGTAACCACATTTTAAAAGGGGGACTTGATTGAATGAAAAAAAAACCAAAGAAAACTTCAAAGCCGCGTTTGTTCTGGTGGAATCAGTACAAGTCATGGGAGCTACGGATGACAGGAAGCGAAGAAACATCTGCTAGGGCGGAAGACTCTCAGTTGATCTTTGTATACGAGGTTTTCTGAATTTTTTCCAGACACTACAGTACTTTTATAAGGAATTGACGTAGGGTATTTTTATTCCTAAAGCCAGGTCAGTCGCCCCAGGACTAAGCTAGACAAGAATCAAAATTAGTTAAGTAGCAAGATAAAACACTCGATCTTTTTAATATCCTTTCCAAATTTTTATGTTTAGGGGACCAATGTTTTTGAAGTATTGACGATCAATCTCAATGTGGTCTAGGCGTGCCGTGAAATATTGTTTACGAAATCCGCATTGATTGCGTCGACAGGCCGAGAAATATTAGCCTTGTGCACGGCTTCAAACCGAAACTAAGCAAGCAAAGAGCGTCAGTGAAGGGAATTTCTCATCCGGTTCCGCAAGCGAAGCGAGCTGCGTTAACGCCCCTCTCCACTTAGTTAATTTTGGTTTCAAGCCATCTACAAGGGTAGCATTTCTTGCCCCATATTGCCTAATACAAAATTTTTAATCAAACTTTTACGACACGGCACGTATTGCGGTCGAGCATAAACTCTCCAAATACATTATGCTCCCTAACAAAAAACGAAAGAAGTTAATTAAAGTTTTCTCAGTTAGCTACCTATTTAAGCAATTTCGCCTCCTTTTTAGTGGCCGCAATGGCCAGAAAGTTGGCACAGGGCTAAAAGCCATAATACAAGTTCCTTTTCCTTTTAGTACTGGACCTACTAAAAACCAAAACACTATGTTGCAAACAAGCGGAAATATATCGTCACCGTACACTCTACTAACTGGCGTTGAACGTGAATGTTGTTGAAATATATCTTGTAAATCGACATATCGAATATTATCATAGGTTTTACGTTTAAAAAGGGATAAAGATTATAAAAATAAAATGACTTACCTGTTAAAAACAGATAACCTGCAAAGAAAACGACCGAACAATTAGAAGAGTTAAAAGCTCAATAGACTCGCACCAGTTTCGCGCAGCAACCACCGTTTTAAAGTCTCAAGGAACCGTCGGCATGGCCGAAATTTATTCATATATACTCCTGATGTGTTACAGGCCTTTGTTGAGCTACGGTGGTACCTGTTGATGATTAAGCTTAAACTTAGAAAAGAAGAACTTAGAGAAGTGTCTTGTCCTGTCTTTTCTGCGTTTCTTTCTGTAATGATGAAGCTGACGCATCACCTGGTTCGTTTCTTTAAATTATAGTGTTCACGTTGGCTGCGCTGCACGCTCTAATGACTTCAGTGGTACTAGCGCTGTTTCTGGTTTATTTGACCGGCTTTGGTTAATTATATAAAATTATATTGAGACAAAATTCTGAGACTGGGGGAACGATGAGGGACACATCAGCACCACAAAGTATTTGTGTTGTTGTGTCGTCCTTCATTTTTTCCCTCTCTTGCATTTGTCTTAAAATGCGTTCAATCGCCACCAGCTAGTTTGGGCCCTAACTTTCCGTCTAAATGAAACAATGTGCGACATTTGAACTGCATCTTTCAAAATCTCTCCAAACTAATGATATGAAGTAGGTCGCTGGAACATCTTTTCAACAAAAACTGAATTAATTTTAGCTAAAACTTACTAGCTTACTAAAACCCGAAGAACTTTTATGAACTATTTATTTTGAGTGCCTTTGCGCCAGACATATCTAAAGAACTCTTCGTTTCTAAGTCCTACAAATCTTTATTCATTATATGACTCTTGAAGACTGCCTCAGCATAAAACCATTTGTTTAGATATAGCTGTCAGAATTGATTTTCTCGAACAAAGAAGAGAAGAAATGCTTCGTAAACCAGTGCCACCTAAACATAACTCGCGGAAACTGCAAATAGCAAAACCTATTCGGCACTCACGAAGGAAGCACACACGCAAGAGCAAGATTCACCGTAGCTCATGGCCCATGGTTATTAGCAATTCTTTAAAATAATTGTGAACCTGTCAAACACACACCACTTGCCACATATTTTTTTAAGCGATTTACATATTGGAGACGCGAGTCTCTACTCTACATCATTAGACACCGTTAATGCTCTACATCGGTGGTTTTAAATGGGGGTCCACGAAGGGCATTTTAGGGGTTAACGAATCCCCGTCTCATCAGTCAAACCAGTCAATGAATTTGTCTTTTTTTTTAATTGAGAAGAAACGTTCGAATTTTCGGGTTAGTTTTCTCATTGTATCTCAATAAGAGAAGTTTAGTTCGCACTAGCCCTTAGTTATATTCATTTATTAAATTATTATCATAATCAATCTATACATTTCCCTTCTCCTTATCACAAACGGGGTCCTCTATCATCACCGCCGATCCACAAGGGGCTCGCGAAATATAAATGTTGAGAACCACTGCTCTAGATAATAGTTATAAAAAAGTGCCGACAGAATCTAGCCTGAAAAAATTTGAAGTTCGTGGGGGGGGGGGGGGGGGGGGCACGAATCGACAGCCCTACATTCGTTTCCCTGGAAGGACTTTTTTTTTTCTCTCTTCTGGGGGCAAAACCATGTGCAACCTAATGGAGCCGTACATAGTACGTGGCTTCACCACGTGAAACAGTGGAAACTTTCGACAAAGACTTTTCGTAGTTTGATTTCAGATTTGGTCCTAAAGAAGTTCGGACTGGTCATATACTACAATTATACTCGGCGAGAGGAATAAACTAATCGCTGGCAGTTTTTGCTTCTTAATTTATTTTAGCAAACGACTGAAATATTGCGAAATATAATAGCCGACACACACCGACAGGAAGCCTTCAACATAAACGACAAATTCTAGCGCAGGATGTAAGGTAAGATAATGACAGCGGGCGTACTTGTCCTCCCCTTTGTCTTTTCTTTGCCACTATCATTGTGAGGCTTTTTTTGGAGATCGCTTCTGCAAAATGTGTTCTGTTGAGCATTAGAAAGCGAGAAGATAACTAGTAATTAAATGGAGTACTGCGTCTCATCTCTTCTTAAGAAATTTACAGAGTGTCTTAAGACTGCTAACTGGGGGTCTCCAACGTACACCACGCAGTGCTGAGTGCGATAAACCACCGCAGCTCGCTAGCTCCCTACATGCGATCCGCTCATGTGTGGCGCAAATCGCATGTCCTTGTGCTCGTTGCCCCATGTGCACGTATCTGTCTCAGGGTGATGACATAAGACCAGTTTGTCTCGCGACGCTTCTTTTTTTTTTTTTTTAGCGATCTGGAACATGTGGGAAAACGTCTCCTGGGCTTGAGCTTTAGCTTTGACCTGTGTTACGGCGGCGCTTTGGTTAGCGCTTTTAATAGGGAGTTTTGAAATGCTTGGCCCCAACGCTTTGGGTTCCCCCAGCAGCTAGGGGCATCGCAAGGGGCATCTGCAGAAGCCGTACGCACGCGCAGTACGACGGCCCAAGTTGTTTGTGGGGAGCCAAAGCGTTGAGGCTCCTATTTTAAAACTATCTACTTATACTACACTTTCTGTGCAAGCGTGCTGCCGCCATCAGGTGCTACAATGAGCAGCATAAAGCCGGCTTCACACTGTTCATTTATCATACAAAAAAAAGTTTGCAAACACAAGTCACCGCAATACCCCTGGTTCGAATACCACGTGCCAAGTTTTCTCCTTGAACTCATTGCCCTGCGGCATTCGACGCACGCATCTAGCGGTGACTTACGTTTGAATTTGTATGCAGACTGTCTTCTGTATGATGTAAGAGAAACGTGACTGCAGCTTAGAAAAAAACTTGGTACCTGAGTTTTGTGGGATTTTTTGGTTGTTGTTTGTTTTGTCTGCGTGCTTTCGTGCATTGTTCGAGTGTTTTCCCGACGAGAAGCTCACCGGGATTGTAGACGGTGCGTCGGCGCACCTCGTAGTCGGTGCCCGGGATCTCGAGCACGCACTCGAAAGTCAGGGCCGGCGGCAGCTGCTCGGCACCGAACGACCGCGACAGCTCGATGTCGTACGTGCCGTTGACCTTGCGCGTGCGCGGGCGGCCCCGCTGCACCTCCGTGCGCCGCATGTCCGGCGTGATGCTGAACAGCCGCAGCGTCGGCCGAGGGTGCAGGCCCCGGGCGCCGCAGTGAACCTCTACGGCGGAGCCGGACTTGTAGCCGGATCCCGAGCCGGAGCCTGAGCCAGAGCCAAGAACTGAGCCCGAAGCTGGGCTGGAGGACGTGCTGGCGGAGGATCCGATCCTCCCACGTGACTTGACGGAGGGCGACGTCGGCAAGGACGACGAGGAGGACGTCGTGACGTAGGTCAGCGTAAAGTTTTTTGCGGGAACTGCGGAGAAAAACAAACAAACAAAACGAGTGAATGTAGAAAATGTTGGAAGGGCTTAGCGCTTTAAAGACCGACACGTTGTTTACAAACAAGTCAGCGTTTGTCAACACTAGGTGCGTACAACACTGCACGTGCGATGAAACCAGATTCGCGCAAAGTTAAGCATTTGCGCATGCGCCGACAGCAGCGCCACCGCAGCGCCTTGACGTCAGAGACGCGTGTTAGTACACACGACGATGCAGGTGGCAAAAATTGTTGTGTGTATGTTTATACAACCGGAAGTTAGTCTTCCTCAGTGAGCGTATGGTGACTCAGCCGTAGATGAGCAATTTAGCCAGTGCAACTAGCAATCCAACGCGTATTGAGAGGAGTATATAACTACCAATCTCTTTTTCTATTACCTTTGACTGAAATTACAAATTCAAAGACCTCGATTTGCATGTTAAGACCTCACGTTTTATTCGTTTGACTTCAAGCATACGGGATAAAGAAATAGGCTAAAAAAAGAGCAGTACAGATTATATTCCCATTGCGAGACACAATTAGGAACGCTACAGTTATAAAGCGCTCAATTTTAGGGAGACCGAAGCTCGAAATATCATATTAAAGGGGCGGCCTGCAAGCACTTTTTTACTGCTTTTTTATTTGCACCAAACCTGAGCGCACTGATCGTAGTAACTTAATGTAACTTTTGGTTTCTCGAATTTCGCTTTATTTCAAAAGTTATAGGCAAATTAAGATTACAAAAACAAGCAAAAAATAACCTCCACCTCCCTCATGACGTCCTTGGTTGCTTGAGTGGCCGTGAATTAGAAAAGAGGAGCTCAGCCAGCGCACACGGCTGCCGCACTCCCTGTCGACGGCGCGAGAAGGCGCCACTAAAGCGTGTTCTGGATAGGCTGAATACAGCGGGCAGCGGCTCTCATTGCATTTGCTGCAGGATAAAACACTAATTCGGCATGACACTTCATTGGCCACAAACGACAGCAAACATGGGGTAAAAATCAGTTCAGAATTTGAGTCCCTTTGCGCTGTTGTACCGCGAAATGGCCAAAAGGCAAGACAAAGCTACTCGCTGAAGGCCTTCGGAGCGCTCGGAGTCGGTCGGATCCTCCAGTCCATAAACGACCGCAGCGCCGTCGTGTACATCCGGGACCTTTGCGTGTCCGGTGCCTGATCCCACTACTCTTTTCTAGTATGCGCCGCCTTTTCCACCGCGTGGTGGCGGGTATGTCGACGGGTCATTTCTTGTTTCCATACTTTATAAGATGCATTTGTTTCTTTTCTGATCTAAAATACTGAACAAAAACTACTTTTATCAGTAATTGAAACGGTTCGCGCCACTTATATTTTGTATTTCGACTAAAAAGAAAGCTTCGTGCCCGCTGGCTTGCCCGAACCCCAAGATACTTGGAAACCGCAAAAAAGGTAGACGCTTAAATATGATTGCAGGGCCCCTTTAATACCAATTTTCTCATGCTTACGGCATTCAGCTTTGGTAAAAGAAGAGATGTCGCTAAGATTGGACCTTAAAACCGCGATACCCATCACTGAGAAACTAAGAACAAAAAGCGCCCGAGGGAAATAATATAGTAAGTAATTTCTTGGACGCTGCCGACAGGCAGCCGGCTGCTTCAGATATCTTCAGTCTCCAACACTCTCGCCCGCTACAGGTAGAGCAGTACATCACGTGAAAGGATGCGGCGCCTAGCAAGGGAAACGAAAGCTGTTCTCGAAACCATTGAACGTCGATCGAGAACAAATCAAATATCTCTGCCTCGTTTGTATTCCCTTTTTCGTTCTCTCTACTTTTGTTTTACTTTCTTGGTTCCTCTCTTTCACTTCGTCTTATTTTATCTTTATTTCTTCCTGCTCATATCACAGAGGCGCCAGAGAGGACGGATGCGAAGAACCCTTTTTTCCACAGCTTGTGTCGTTGACTTTCTGAGTATTTCCGCACATAGTCTATACTATCGGACGCATGGACAGGGTTTCGATCTTTCCGATAAAACCGAATAATAAAAATAAAACGCAAGCTTCGGTAACAATTTAATTTAATCATAGTTATCCGAAAGAAAAAAGCTCGACATTTAAGATTTAGGTGGCAAACAAACGTCAGGATGCTTCGCGCAGTAGTTTTAGTGGACGATTGATCATTGGTTGTGAGGTCGAGGACACTTCAGTTTTCCTCCTAATCATCGGCAATCAACGGAAGGGGTTTACAGGTAACGTTTGTTCAAAACAACGAATCAATGCTGCTCTAGTGCCGGTTCAGGAAAACAGTCGATTCAAGTATGTAATTCTGCCACCGTTCGGGTTTCGAGTCGTACAAAATATCCTTTAATATCCTTTGAGCCCCCTTAAATATAGAAGAGAGGCAGTGCTTTTACAGTAGCGGAGGATATATACCTATGGTTCATTTGTTAATACTCCTCGCAATTTAAATAGGTTTCTCTGTCCTAATACGTTTCATGTCAATATTAGTACCCTTTATTGGTTTCAAAGATTTTAAAGGTATAACAAAGTTAACACCTAAAAGACAGCGAATTTCTGAGAACTGGAATTGCAACAAGAGGGAACTCTGGTAAGCGCCGCATTTTCGGCCCCAATAGTCTCGAGCATTCACCCTTCACGTCACTGTATCTATAGACATGCGAAGTCAAAAACCCTATCTCTAGACCTGCACCGCAGGAGGCTACACTAAAGAAAATTCTCTTCCGAACCCTTGTTCACCAAGAATACTCATCAAAACATAGTCTGCGCGTTGACACTGTGCACAGCCACGCTGTGTGTTAAAGCGCACACTTTTATTAATTTTGGTTTAAATATTTTGCTGTTGGATTTCATTATTTACGCAGTTTCTTCAGTAGATGGCATTAATTGGTTTTTCCGGCGTTCTGGGGAAAAGTTCGCGTATGGTCATTTTTAATAGTTAAACACTGGCTCACATACGAAGTTAATATTTTTTTGCAAGATTGGGGCTTTTTGCTTTCTTATTCCAATGGTGTCCATCTCGTATCCTTGATAAATGGCGAAGACGTAACAAGAACCATGAAGTGTTATATTGACAGGGAAACATTGCGGGACATATAAGAATGGACGATCGATATAGCGCACCTGAGGCCCTCGCTAACATAAGAAACAATTCAATGAAGTGCTTATATCCGTAAACGAGTTCGTTATCCAAAGCGTATCAAAGTAAAATGCAAGAAACCAAAAAGCGCCTTCCTCGTTTTTTCTTTTTTTTTGGGGGGGGGGGGGGGGGAGTTTGTTGAAGAAGCATTTTTCATCGACACTTAATATATAAAACCCTCTTCAAAGCACATAATTGAAAGGCTAACGAGTTGGAGTTCCGCTCCCTCATGTTTACTTTGCATGGGTGTCTAATTACGTAAAGATGTGAACAAAAAAAAATGAAAATTTTCGGAATCCGGAATATCCTGAGGCTTCTGTTAGCTCTCACTTTCTTCTTTAGTTTTCACTGGTTTCCTTTGCCCAGTTGAATAACTCTTGTCTGGAACTAGAAGATAGATTATGCAGTGTTTGGTTTTCAGTAATTAAGTTGTTTTTTTTTCGTGCCTTTGCTTCTTGCTTAAAATAATAACAGCTGTTCCTGTCTGAGCTAAGGTTTTGGCAAAGAAAACAGTCGAGTGCCTTAATTAAGGGAGAGGGCATGATTTTGCTTTCAATTGTTTTATTACTTTTATTTGCCGTTTGCATATATTATACACGCAGTGGCACTCGCACGCCAGAACAATCCCCACAGGGGCCATGTGGCGTCGCTACTTAGTTACCGGTCACTGTATTATCCAGATAATAACAGTCAAACCAATGCTTTACTACAAATTGAATTTCAATTTCAGTCTTTATTTTATACAGAAGACCCCGAGCCTTACGGTTTCACTGAGAGGGCGTGTTACATACGTACCAGCCAGAGCTAGTGCAGAGTGAACTTTTCATGTATTCCAGAGTTTGCCTTTCGATAAAGCGTACGCTTTTTTTTTTTTTTCAATTAAGTTTTATGAGAAGAAGGGGACAGTACTATGAAAAGATGGTACCCACTGCTGTCAGTTTTAATTAACAATAAAACTTCGCTAATGAAATATAGATTTAAGTATAGAAAATATTCCTTACATAAAAAAAAACTATTGTTCCAATCTTTGTTTCGTAAAACTTGAGAAAAGTCGTTGGGAAAATGGATAAGCGTGCGAATCGAATATTCCGAAACGTTAGCGGTTTGTGGAATTGCAAAACAACCGCGAAGTAGTACCTAACCCGCTGGTAACAATCTTGTTGAAAATAGGGGTAGAGGCTGAGAGAGTATATTAATTATGTTAGCTTTAATCCCCCCCACACACACACACACGCACACACAAATTTGTTTAAGATGGAGGACCGTTAAAATATATGCATTTACTTGAGGATAAAAACTTTTACTGACAGCAAGTTATTCAAAAAGCACACACTAGAGGATGCGATAAAAATCCAAGTTATATTCCCAAGGGCCACTTTAGGTCCCCTTTAATTAAACAGAGAAATAAATCCGCATTATTAAACGAACAGTAACGCACAAAGGTGATCCGTAATATAATGGTAGCAACCACACATTATAGGAGTCGTATATGTTCTATAGTTTCAAATCCCGAGACGGGGAAAAAATAAAAATAACGAACAACCCAGCATGAAGATCCAATTAAAACACAGCAATATTGTAAAACTATAAAAACGCCAGAGGCCGTTGTGAAGATAATTGGGGGCTACGCAATAATGTCCGAGGAAGGGTAATAATGTTTCTTCCGGCACAGTAATTGCGAAAAGAAAACGCACAAAGGCCAGCTACTTAGAAAACGCCATAATGTGGAATTTCAGCAGGCAGATTATAGTATGCTCCATATTATACTAGCGAAAATCTCGGCAACATTGTTTCGCACTAATCTGCCTGTGTCGTGCCCATTACCTACTAACTTTTTTTTTTCTGCTGCAATTGCTCCAACCAGTAA